TCTTTCAGGAAACCAAATTTCCTGAGAGTATGCACTCCCCCGCTCACTCTCTGTGTATGAAAGAGTAATCGCATTACTGTCTCATCGCCTGCCTCTGTACCGTTGCTTTTTGTAGACCAGGATCCCGAAGTGCGGGAACCTGGCTTTCTCATCTGTGCCTCTTAGCTCCCCAGCATGATGGTTGGCCGCCTGGCAATTCTATCCGCTGAAATCAGGGAACAAACCAGGTACCATCTTGGTCATGTTGCTTTCATGGTCAAGAGTCTATGAAGACCTCTCACTGCTAGTCAGACCAAGCCTTAAGCTTGAAACTAACTTCATTTTTATTAATTATTCCTTAAATACTTGAACTCATACAAAGTACAAGTAATTTATAATTTAACTGCCTTGTTTGAAATCAAGTAAAATAAGAAGTGAAATTCTCCACCTACAGCAATCTACACCTAAGTAACCATCCCCTGATTCTAATCTCCAGCTCATTCAAGCCACTCTTCATGGGTCCATCATGTGCCATGTGAATTTTCTCTGTTGTGTGATTATGAATGGAGTCACCCTGGCCACAGCTCTACTCTGCCCGTTGTGTCTCTAAAACCTGCTCAGCTGAGGTTCCAACTTCCATGACCTATATTACCTACCGCACTTCAATACTTATGTTCTCTATTATAATTGTTTTCAGGTGTTGGACTATTTTCCAATAAGATCTGCACTCCTTTCCAGCTACCATGGCTTTTCTTTCTATATTAAAGGTATTTACAGGGCATGTGCAAGCGATCTCATACTAAGCATTCAAATGAGTTTTTAAATATAAAGGAATTGAGTTTTTAAATGGCACTTATGTTAGTTCACTTGGCAAGCATGAAAACTCCACCATGTGTCCGGCACTGTGTTAGAAACAGAATTTACAGACCAAAAGAAAAAAAAAAAAAACTAATGGCAGAACAGAAATGGGTCTGTCTTTTCCATCTCTAATGTACACAGCACATGCCTTTAACATCTACGGTGTTACGTTGCAGTGTTTTGTGAGTGCCTCATGGCCCCCTCCCTTTCGCTTTTGCACCTCCAGGACAAGGAATGGGTATTATAATTTTATGTTCTCAGGGTCTGGTACAATACCTAGCAAGTGCTCCACTTTTGGAGAATGCTTGGAATGAACTGTTGAACTGAACTAAGGATAATTTGAAAAATGTTATAATGGAGCCTGTATGGATACCACGGAAGGACAGGAGAAGGTTACCTACCCTACTTTGTTTCTTGGCCAGGGTAAGCTCCCCTCACCAAATGACAGCCCCATCAGATTGCATTTGGACACAGTCTCACTTGAACAGTAATTTTACTTAAACCAATATTGGCAGTGCTCGCTTGGATTACATTTTTGAGGAGGCGCTGTAATTTAGAAGCATGTAAGTTGGCTAAACCACGGTCTTATTTCTGAACAAGACCTTAAAGTACAGATTTTTATAGAGACCCATGTTTAGCAAACTTTGGTATTCCTGTTTTCTTAAGCCGTATAGAGTTTTCTGAAGTTCACCAGTCTGTTGAATGATCCTATTGGTGTTTTAAAACTCATTTATTGATAAAATTAACATAAAGGTTTTCCCAGACCGTTAATACAATGGCTATTTCTGGGAAGCAGGCCTGATGTACCATTCAGGTAAATAAGAGGATATCTGTATCTTATGCACCTGTTTTGAATTTTTATTCATAATGAGAATGTTTCACTTTTCTAAAGAGGAATTAATAAGGTTGATGTGAATCCCACTTGTTTAAGGATGACCAGTTGAAGAAATTTCTGGGAGCGTGGATACAGGCTGGAGGGGAAAGCCTAGAACTATGAGGCTCCACAGTGGTTTTCTCCTAAGCAGAAGAGTTAGTTCTAGGAGAAGTAGCTGGACAGGACAGGGAGTTGTGGATGGGGCTGGAGATGGTGAGAAGAGGTTTCCAGGAAGCATGTCAAGGAGCAGATTGTCAGGGTAGGTGGTTTATGCTGTTGCTTTAAAAAGCTTTCAGTTCAAAGGTGTTGGTGATTAGATGAGTTGTGTCCGTTTAGGCTGCTGAGTGTTGTGGGCCGCCTGCATGGTTTTTATGTTGTGGTGGAGTCACTGAGACCAGGAAGGTCAGCAGAGCTTTGGATGATGTTACGACTTGGTGCCAAAGTTTTTGTTTAAATGCTTTGTTGAATAAGAAATATTTAGGGATTTGTCCCCTAATGACTTGAATGAAGGAAAAGCACCCTTGAACATATGGAAACAAAGAATACTGGACAAGAGATGGTCAAACAGTTGTGTATTTTGAAGGATATGGTAGATTCAACATTATAAGGGGTATAATTTCATGCACATAATTTTTCAGAATTTCCAATTCTGAAAAAATTGGGGATGGAGTACTATTCCTTGATTCGTTCTTACCATTTGGAATCAAAAGAATTTATTTCGGAACATTATAGCGTTATTTTCTGTAAATTTAAGCAAGTCACAGTGTTCATTGAAATAACTTCTGTTTTAATACATAAATGCATTACAATTACAAAAGATTCATATGATTCAGAAATAGATAATTTTTAACCTATTTCAAAATTCCACCACCCCTTTCCCAAATTAACTTCTCTAAGCTCCTTCATGAGTGCACGTGTGGTTTTCTTGTACCATACTCTATATCCTGCAACTTGCCTTTTTCACTTAATGATAGATCTTAGAGCTTATTCTCAGTCATTGCTCATAATTCACCTCGTGCTTTCTCCTGGTTGAAGTAGTCTACAATTTGAATGCGTCAGATATTTATTATACTTAAATTTGAGGACAAATAATTGAGCTTTCTTTTAGCAGGATTTATGCCTGAAGAAGTCCTAAGGGACTTGACAGAGAATGATAGGTATTTCAGAAATTCACGTTCTATGAACTGGTATTAGGGCTATGGAATGAAATGAGGAAAGGGCGCTGCAAGTAGCAGTCAAGATTAGCAGAGGACCTTGTAACATTATTTCCAAATGCTTATTGCTATAATTTTTAGGCCAAAGAGCTTACTGGTGTAACTCGTGTTTTAAAGAAAACTCAGACTTTGTAGATAACAGCTGATCTATGAAGTGTACAGTCCTCTTTTCTTAATATAAATGCTTTGTTCTGTTCACCCCTTAGTTCTGTTTTATCTTTGGAATGTTTATCATTTCTTGGAAAATAATTCAGCTAGTAGGAAGGGCTGCTTGCTTTTCTAAAAAGGCAAGAAAACCAACAATTTGTGGACATGATGGTCATGTGTTTTGACCATGATTAAGAAGCTACTGACCAGCTATAGACCATCACTTCATTACAATATTTAAGATTACAAATGCACATTTTATGGGGTGATAAACTGTTCTTCTTTACCCACCATCCTCCCCAAAAGAACAACAGTGTAATTTGACTATGGACTTTCACCCATACCTAGTTGGTTTTCCAATTGTAAGTTTGGTAACATTTCACAGATTGAGTTAGCTGCTTCATGGTGGCCATTCAATGCATGAAGACCTGTGAGACCCCAAATTGAAAGGTGAAGAGTTGCCGTTTTCTTGTCATTATTTAAAACATAATCTATTTCAATAAAACTTTTTGACTTTATTTTCTCAATTTTCAAAATATTCAGTGATTTCATGTTTTGGTTATATTTTCTATTCCATTATCTCTTTGCTTACAGGAACAGTCTATCTTAAGGCTTTTTCTGAATCATTAAAGGACCAAATACAGTAGTGGCATTCAGAGGCTTGTTAAGTGAATAGAAGTGTTGCCATGGAGTTTTCATAGAGCTTTATGTATTCTTAATTGCCATCAATTAAGTCTGTTATAAGTAATATGTACTATAATCTGTTGAAAATCTGAGCTTTTAATTAATCCTCCAACCTCCTTTTTCTTTCCTTTACTTGAAGAGTAGAGTATATTTATTTTCTCCTGTGCAAGCCAATTCTCTCTGGTCCAGATGTTACTGGCCTACCAGGGAATCTGACCTAGGATACTTAGCCTATAAATTCATTCTTCTTTTTACACTTTGTTGTAATGTGTGCGGGTTCGTGGAAAAATACATGTTTCTAATCTGTTGTTTCTATGTGCAGACTGCCTATTACAAGCCAGTTGATTTGCATATGCCATTACAAATCTTCACAACAGCCTCATAAAGTCAGTGATGTCCCTGTTCTATACAGAAGGAAATAGACACTCAGAGGCCTGTTGTTGTTAAGAGCGGAGCTGGGATTCAAACCCAGACCTAGCAGACCTAAAAAGCACTACTTTTTCACAAACTGCAACTAGTGAAATTCTGTTAGTGCATTATAGAAAAAAGATTACAGATTTAGAAGGCAATTGGTTTGGGGGCCTCTCAGAATCAGCTCAGCCACTATTAGCTGTGTGACTTTCTCTTAAATTCAGTTTCCTTATTTGCAAAATAGGGATACCACTGCCCACCTTGTAGGATTATTATAAAGACTAAATGGAAATGCATGTAAAACCTTTGGCATATTGTAGGTTTTCAAACTAGTGACCTACGCTACCCCTCCAAGTTAAGACACCTTCTGCTGAAAGTAAATGCCAGCACTAACCAGCATTAAACAGGATTTTAATTTACTGTCCTGAAACAGAAGATACTGATTAGAATATTCCCATTGTGTTTTTCACTATAGGTTTTTTGAAGAGCAGAACAGATTTCAATCCCAGCAGCAATGAAATTTGTAGTGGGCGTGTTTTCTTTTTCTTTTTAATCCTTTGTTTTAATCTCATTTGGAGTTGCAAAATTTTCTGAAGGGTTTTATGCTGCCGAAGGCCTAGGCTGGAATGCTGTCTCAGCCTATTGATGTGGTGAGCTGTTGGAAGAGGTAGGAGTGATTTAGAATGTGATGGCATTAGGAAACAAATGAGTTGAACGCATATTTCTTTGACTACTAGAATTTCGATGGAGCTAACTGGTAAATTTGTGTTATTTGCAAAACAAGTAAATTTCTTTGACTGAAATTTTCTTTTTCTCTTTAAAATTGTTTTTAGGATGCAGAATAGAAAACTGTGATTCTTGCTTTAGCAAAGACTTTTGTACCAAGTGCAAAGTAGGCTTTTATTTGCATAGAGGCCGCTGCTTTGATGAATGTCCAGATGGTTTTGCACCATTAGATGAAACCATGGAATGTGTGGGTGAGTAGTTTTTCATGTAACTTTCAAACTTTTATTTTAACACCTGTTTCTTGAAAAATAATGCATGTTGGATGTATTCAACTTAAAAACAAATTGGTTCTCTTGTTAATTAGAACTGAAAATTAAGTTCTTTGCTGACTTGCTGAATTTTGGGGGCATCAGGACATCTGTAGTCTACTAAATCTTGCTACAAATTTGCTAGTTGTGTGTTGGCTAGTTCAACTATTTAAGTGCTGGTATGGCTTTATCATCTGTAACACATAACCTTTCTTACCTTAAATTATTAATAACTGTTAGAAGCATTTTGTGTAGAAGAACAAAATTTCCAAGCAGTGCCATGTGGTTAACTGTTCTATCACTTTTGTTATGTAGCTTAATTATGGGGCTTCTTGTTTAGCCATTTAAAAAAATTAGAAAGAAATTTTTTGTGTAAAATGGATTTTGTTGATGATTGCATGTCGCAAAAGTATATTAAAATGTTTTACTGAATTTATCTAGAATGCATAACTTAATATACATATGTACACTGCTCATGAATAATTAGGAATACACATTTTATAAATTTTATACTTTTGGAGTGTTTGAAAAACACTTTGATATTTTTATACAACTGATGAAAAGGTAAAGATCTATAGTACCTACATTTTGATGAATACCTAATCGAATGAATCTAATCTCCAGGTGTAATGGCATTGTCCCCACCCCCACCCCCAAATTTTATTTAACATATTATACATCTGATATGATCTATAACAGAATTATGTATTATAAACGAGACTTTCCACCACCTTAAAATGGAGACTTAAAAAAAGTGAGAACTTCTTTTCTGCAGAAATATTGTTGAGTCTGTAATTATATATTTGAGGGTTTGCAGAGAACACCTTTAAATGACCGGTTTTTGAAGAAATGTGTACTTATGTTCCTGTTTATGTGTGGGTTCATACATTCATACAGGTGACACTCTATTTAAAAAGTCACTAGAACAGAATATTCAGAATGTTGAATTCGCTTTTGAGAGGCAAGATCCACCCCCATTACAAATGTTAAGTGGAAACTCTTAAAAAATCCTTAAATATAAAAAATTACAAATAGAGTCCTACACACTTCCCTGAATAAAAATCTTAAACAGCTTTGAAAAATCTCAGAGTAACCACGTTGCCTGCTGAGATCAGAAATGCTAAAATACTGTGTGTGGATTCCAGGCCCGGGTCCTTATCTGCTAGGGCATTTTAATAGTGAATTTGGTGAGGAGGTTTAACTTTGCATATTTTTATCCTTTTATTATCTACCTCAGGGGTTTGGAGGATAGCTGACATTTCTACCATATGAATTTACAAAAGGAGATGCTAAAAGCCTTTACATATAAACATTTTCAAATATCTGACTGTATCTGATTATAGTGAGATAGAGCACCAATTTAGGGAAGGAGAAATACATACAGTGGTTTTTAGATACCTATTGGAAGAATTGAGATAACCAGAAAATGCAAAATAAGCTCCCTTTCCTTTTCACTAAGTACTGACTTCCAAAATAAAACTAACATACTTGTGAATTACTATGGGGGCATTCAGAATTAACACGTAAAATTATGTCTTCTGTCATTGTTTGAAAAGAGGATCTTTTTCTGTAGGTTTTAGCTGTTGAATCTTTTAAAGAGTATATATTTCTGTGTCTTTAGAATGGACCAATAGCAGTCCTTCAAAAAATGAACTAAGACCAATACAAAGTAATAGTTTTTAAATTACTTATGTGGTAGTTGCTTATTGTAGATGAAAGTAACTCTGTGGTTCCAAGTTGAAGCATCCGAAAGGGGAATACAGGTCTTTGTGGGCTGTACAACCTAATTTATCTGAAGGGGGGAGTGGGGAAACACAGCTATATAAATGTGATGGCAGCAGGGCAAATGGAGACCAAGGTGTTATCTGTGTATGTATTATTTTTTTCTTTATTAGAAGGATGTGAAGTTGGTCATTGGAGCGAATGGGGAACTTGTAGCAGAAATAATCGCACATGCGGATTTAAATGGGGTCTGGAAACCAGAACACGGCAAATTGTTAAAAAGCCAGCAAAGGATACAATACCATGTCCAACCATCGCCGAATCCAGGAGATGTAAGATGGCCATGAGGCACTGTCCAGGAGGTGAGTTTGGAGAATTCCTGTCCTGCATGGGCTGTGTGCTTTCTGAATTCTCCTCCCCCCAGAGCATCCATCCACAAAGGAAACCTAGTAATATCATCAGTGACAGGGTAAAATTTCACACTGTACTCACTTTAGAGACAAATGCTTAAATTGTGAAGAATATAAAGTATTTCATTTTCAAGATGCCTCGAGAATGATTTGGAAGAGTGCATGACAAATGAACTTTCTAAAATGAGATTTCTAGGAGAGAGAGAGAGAGTGTGTGTGTTGCTGATGTACCATAAAAGCGGGTTCTTAGGAAATCAGGCCTTTGCAGATGTTTCTCTGAGGGAAGTGGCCAACTTTCAGTTGAGAAGAGTTTAGATTAGAAAGGTTTATGAAATCTGTAAAATCATCTGCATCGTTACTAGTTGAAGATGACAACTTAAAATAAACTTGCCCAAACACTGGGAGGAATAAATGTTGTCTTAATGTTACCACAATTAGCTGGTTCCCTTTGTTTTGATAATAATTTGTAGAAAACAGCTACTGGTATGTGTGTGTTTATTCATGTCTTTGTAGTAATTGTGCTGATTTGCAGTAATTATTCTGTAATAACAGGATTCGGCCCATTTACAAATTAGGAGAAGTGAACATAGCTCAGGTACTGGAGGAAGCCAAGTCAGGGTGGGGAAATGCAGTTTTTAGCGTTGTCGCTGTGGTTCTGAAAGCATCATTGCTTGCTCTCATTTTAACACTAACAGATGCTATGTTGCCAGAGATGAAGTGGGGATTTTTCTAGTGCACAAAATAGAAAAGCAAAAAAGAAAGTGGTGTTTGGAAAATTGCCCTTGAAAATAATCAAAACGTTTGTTTGCCTTCATTCTCACTGTTGGTGCATAGCTTTCCAGCTCTGTGGCTGTAGCCCAGAAAGAGAATATATATCTGCTTAAATGGATTTATATTCCTATCGGGCTTCCACATAGGGATGTCTGTGATCCATGGAGGAAGACAAAGCTTTTAAGACTTGAAGACTCCGGTTGGCTTTTGAGAACTATTAGATCCAGATTCAGAAGCTACTATGAGGAAGGCAGCTTTCCCTCTTGAATTAGTTTTGCTTTTCTTTGCCGGGTCTTTGAAACAAAGTTTTTTTGGGTCTGCTTTTCACTAACAAGGATGGTTTTGTTCAGTTAAACTGAGTATTTTTCAGTCAAAATAAAAGAAAATATTTTCTTACAAAACTAATAAGCCACTTCTTGGATAGCTGAGAGCATTTAACCTGCAACCTTGTGCCTAAAAACAAACCTGATGTATTCAGGTATTGGAAATAAAGACTTTCTTTGTTGTATATTGTTTATGTAGCTACCCCCCACCATTCCTCTTCCAGCAATGTGGTCCCCCAATTGTGGTTTACGTTAATAGCAAAAATTAACCTGAAAATGCTCCTATAACAAACATGCTTATGTGTAACAAGAACCAGCACGTTCCCCTCCCCTCCAAAATTATTTTGACCTAGCTCCGGTCTTGCTGGAGAATTTTGTAGATAACAGCAACATTGTTAACCTCTAATGTTTATTGCATTTTTATATATTTTTTGCTTCCAGCAACAGTATACTGTCTTCATAGAAGACATAACCTGATACGGTCAGCGTTGAAATTATGTCAAAACAAATGTTTGTGTGTCATCTGCTAATATCTTTTTGACAAGTGAACCAGTAATGAACTCGGATTTAGCTCATATTTAGGTTGTACCAAATATTATTTACTAGGAGAGAGCAGCTATCACTCTAATCCCTGTATCTACATTTTCAGTTGAATAAATTAAATATTTATATAACCTTTAAAGTTAGTAGGTTAAAAGGTGAATTAGAATTTGTTGATTGGTTTATGTTTTGTAAAAAGAAAACAAATAGAATTGTTGACAGAAATGGAAAGTTACTCTCCAATAAAAACTTCTGTTTACAGGAAAGGAAAAGTAGAAAATTAATTTTGGAACTTGAGCACCAATTGATAAAATTGGCATAACTTCCAGTGGAGTATCCCACCTTGCCTCAGGTGAGAGAGGGAAAAGTTCCTTTCTTCCATAGGTCATGGTGATTAATGGAAGAATGGAGAAGAAAACCACTTTAACCCATTTTACATCTTGACTTGATTTCAATGATCTGCTTTGACAAACCATGCAAAAATGTAGTCGTAATCAGGTTGGGAATACAGGCATTTTTCGGATCTTTTCAACTTATGTATGGATTTCTCTCCTGTTGGAGCCAATCTTAACCTGATTGCACACAAATGCAGCCTTAACCTCCTTCACACTAAAGCACTAGCACATTAAAATCAGCTGCTTTTGATTACTGGAAGGAATGAGTTAGAGGTCAGAGAAATGGAATAGTCACTAAGTGTATAAGATATTACACTGAAATCTATTAAAAACAAGACAATAAATGGCTATAAGATAAAAAAACAACAGTATAATATTTTAGCTTATTTTTTTCTTAATTATTGCCTGCTTATTTGCTTTTTCAAAAAAGAATATCTGGCAATATCTTAAGTCGTGGATTGATTTACACTTGAAGTTACTCAGTGTTCATTCCCTAACTTTTCTTCTTGATTAGTTATCTTTTTCTTTTATTTCTGATGATCTACTTGCAGAGTTTTTTGGGCTTTTCTGACACTCATTCTGGTCTGGCGATCATGAGATCTGGGTCTCTGCACCCTGTCAACTCATTAATTCTGTGACCCTTGGCAAGTCACTTAACCTCTCTTGGCCTCTATTTCCTCATTTTGTAAATTGAGGGTATGGGGGGGGCGGTGAATTTCTAAGATCCAGTCCAATTCTAAAATCCAATGATTCTAAGACAAATTGCCAAAAGATACTGGCAAGTTTTGTGGTTGTCACATCAGCCCAAAAGCGTTGTTCATGACAAAAGGACTGAATGCTTTTCCAGTAGCTGTACTGTGCATTTGCCAAGCCTTTCGCATGTGGCAGCTTTTCACCCTCATCCTGCCACCTCACAGGTAGTCAACCCTCACAGACTAAGCAAGACTCCTTAAATCAGCCTGTGACCTGTGGTTTAGCCACAAAGATGGTAAGAGGCTAGAGAAAGAAAAGAGAGGGGATCATGAAAGACTGTGATAAAAGGAGGCAAACAGTGAAAAAGAACAAGGAGTGTAGGAAACCAGGGCACAAAAGAAAGGACTACTTACACATGAAGATGGTACTCCTTGCCCATACCTGTCTTGTACTCCCCTCATTCCCACTTGAGCACACTAATTAGTGGAATTCATCCTGGAAGGATTAATTTATTCTGTTCGTATATAACCTGGAGGTTCAAATGGGAGGGGTTTCTAGTCTGGACCATGTTGTACATTAGATAATCTAATAATAGAAAAATATAAACATGCCATTATATTTAAATGACAAATGGAAGAACAAAATCATGGTGCTGAGGCATGGAGTCAGAGGATGTTCATGTGCAGAGGGAATTGTCATTTGGGTAACTGTAATCTTCAGGATTGGCCAACATATTCTGTCCTATGTGTATGGCATTCCTTGTTTTTTAAGGTCCCATGACAACTAATCTTAATTTATCAGATATTATTGAGCACTGCTATGTACTAATCACTGGTCTAGGCATGATACTACTCAGAGTCTCTACAGAACTTTTTCTAGTGGGAATCATGACAATAAAGAAGTAAGTGGGGGAATTCATAATTTCATGTGGAGATGGAGACTGGCAAGAAACATAAAGCAGGATAATCTAGTAAAAGATTGAGATGGGAGTGTATTATTTTATGTAGGGTATTCAGAGAAATTGAGGGAGTAACATTTGATCAGAGAGCTGAATGAAGGAGACCTTCTGAGGAGCTAAGGAAAGATTTTTTTTTAAGCTATTGACGCAATGGTTGTTTGTGAATGTCCTTGATTCTCCCAATTTACATTAGGGAAGAGGAAGGAACTGCAGTCTGGGGAGGCTCTGACTGGTCCAAGGCGATACATAGCAAGTTTCTAGTGTTAGGGCCAAGAGCAGAACCAGAACCAGAACTTGCTGCCTAGGAAACCCAACTTGTTCCTTGTTCCTTATAATAAAAATCCAAGATAAAGCTAGGGTTGTCTATTAAAGAAGCCAACTTTAAACTGTTTCTCCCCCAACCCAGACACATCATCTTAATTTTGCTCTACAAATACTTAAAAAAAACAAAACAAAAACAAAAAACCTAGTGCCCTGACATTACCACCCCCTCCCAATATCTTCCAACTTGAAATAGTAAAATATAGCCTGAGGGTCATTTCATAAACACCAAAGTATTGAACCACTGGCTTTGCTTTGATTCAGCCGCTCTTACAAAGACCCTCTTCTTTAATTTTAGTGTCATTGGTCCTCATTTTGTTGGGGGGTGGGGAGTGTGACTTCCAGATTATTCTTTCCATCATTAGTGTTTTGGAGTCACCCTCTGGGCTAGCCCCTGAGGCTACCTTGGATTGAGTCACACTCACTCACCTCTGCCCCCTCATTCCCTGGCCTGCACAGCAGCTCTGGGGATCTGAGTCCCACCGCCCACATTTTGGGCTCTGTGCCCAGCGTGGCTTTTCTCTTTCTGACCCAGTCAAGCAATCAGACTGATAGCGTAATTTAGGTGATGCTTTGACATACACTCTGATCGCTCTCTGTCTCTTTTGCTTGTGGTTGCCTCCACTCACCGGGCCACAGTTATTAGTAACATTAGCATGCAGTTCTTTAGGCCCTCGTCAGATTTTCTCAGATTTCAATTTGAAAATAACTCCTTCCTCTTACGAGACATTACTTGACCCTCATCTACTTTTTTTTTTTAAAGTGGCTTTTAACTTGATAACAAAAGAAGATATTATTTAGCAACTTAGAAACTTAATCTCTGCAAACATCTACTTTTTAAGAGGCAATAGTAAAAAGACCCCTCTAATCTTTGTTTTCTGTATATAAACTGACAGCAACATGTGGACTAGGTATTAGATAATACTAAAGATGGTTGTGGATCGTGATGGA